AGGAATGGATGGGCACCAAAGATCTGCAGATTGCCAGCTCCAAACTAAAAAACAAAACAAACCAAACTAAACCAAGAAACCACCAAACCAAACTAAACCACCCAACCACAGAAACCCACTGTACCAAGGCAAATGATGTGGTAAGCACCACCCACAAATCACATACCAAAAGGCAGAGGTGGACCCGAGCTTTCTGACATTTTTACTACTGAATCTGCTGCTACTGCTGCATAAGCTTGACTTAAACAAGCAGTAGTGGTAGTAGTAGTCTGGTAGGCTTTCCAGTTTTTCCTGACAAAAGAAAATGTCCATTCCTAACAGTTCATATACCAGTAAAAGATACAAAGATTTTATGTTAAGAATAAAAGCACTTCTGTTCACCACAAGTGCTTTATTTGTCAAACATTAAAGGTTTCAGAAAAAAAGGAGTTTCTAGCAAAGAAAATTTGCAAAACTGACCTATCAGAGAAAGAACTAGGGAAATTAAAGACATGGGACATAGAAGATGCAGATTTCTAAGTATGAGACCTGATCATGAGGTACATTAGCACTCAGAGAAACAAATTTCTTTACCATTACTAGCAACAGTCAGGGTGAAATAAAGCACTCCTTCTCTGCCCTTAAAATACTTCTAGTTTTACTCATAAAGATGTGAAATTATTAAAAAATATTACATGGATGCTATGACAATTGATTTCTAAATAGATTATACTCACAACAAATGAATGATTTGTGTAAATAAGATATCAGATTTCTCAAATTGCAACAAAAAACAAAGAATTATGGGAGAAAAAAGGTTCTTAAAAGAAAATTTGACATAATTTAGAAAATTATGCTAGAAAGAACTAGACATTTTTATTCAATATTCTAATTGCTGTATTATATGGCTGTTCATAACATAAAACTTACTTAAACATGATCTTTTCCCAGCTGTGCTTGCACCTCCTGAACATAAATTGCCTCCTCGATGGACCAGCTCAAGTTCCAAGTTTGTTCTGCAAGAAAAACGTAACAATGTTGAATGGCACAGCATTATTCAAGCTTCTAAGGACATGAAAGAGTCATCACAAACTTCCAGCATACATTAAATAAAAGAATGCCACGAATCAATCTTTAGTGTGAGACACTGACAAAATATGACTCAGAATAAAACAAACCATATCAAGATATTGCCATATGTGATTTTAAGTGCTTTGAATAGCAACTATTGTATTAAGAGAACTGCTACAGTTGTGACTGAAGAATAAAAAAACTAAAATTCTGAGGCTTTTTTTCTGTATGCACACACCACTCCTTGATAATAAGGGAATTTATGTGTAAATCTGAAAAGACAATATACAGATTGGATAAATTTCAATCAATCAGATGTCTAGAAAGTGTTCTCTTTAATGGCAGGGCTTTTGTTTTTCTTTAAACAAACAGACAGTACAAAGGATATGCCACCAAGTAACTAAGTATGAAATGGGGCTAAATTATAATGGAAGCACTGACCTTTATAGATAAGTTAGTTAATAAAAGCCTTGGAGGTTAACTCTGAACAAAACACCGGTATTTACTGCAGCTCATTAGCATGAAACGGGAGTTGTGTCATTCAATCTCTGCATGTCACACTGATGCTTTCCTTCTTAGTATGACTGTAAGCTGATACTCAGGCACCAGTTGTTTAGGCCGAGTTCGATAGCTTTGTTTAATTTTGGAATTGGATGTTTCAGTACTACATTATCTTTTACCCCCAAGACTTGGAGCAAACAATTTACATTATGTTCTCTGAGAATTTGTTTTAATAAGTCAACACACATTCCTTTAATTAAAATAAATATAATTCTGTTACTCTGAAATGTTATTTTGCTAATTTAATCCAAACGGCAAAGCTCAGTCTAAACATATTTTGTCCTTTAACTAAAAAATAAACAATTTTAGGTGCAAATAATGTGACAGAATACATATTAAAATCTATTACAGAATTTCAGGTACCTAGTATATCTAAGCTAAGAACACACACCCTCACATAGATATATTTAAGAAGAAACTACATGATGACTATTTTAGTCAAAACAAATAATTTTAAGAATTTCAGCTCCATCAGCTTGAAATAATAATACATTTTTGATATGCAGTGTTTGTTAAGATACTTTCATATGTTTCTAAAATAGTAACATTTCAGAATATTACTGGCCCCAAGTTTGCAGCTTATGCCACCCATTTCTGAAGGAATGCTTTAATCCTCTCTGCTCAGAAAAGGCAATTTAACATTGATAATGTGCCTGCTCAGAGCTCCATCTGGTTGCTGCTGATAAGGGCATCTGTGTGACAGGGGAATTTTCCACTCTTCAGGCGATTTGCACTGCTCACTGAACTTCTAAAAATCTACCAGCAAGGAAGCAGAGACAGGGATTTCTTATTAGTGGACAAAATAGCAACTGTATATCAGCATGTGCTAGTTCATCATGGGACTATAAAGGAAACCAGTATGTTTTATTTCTACAAACCTTCTGATAACTAATTTGTAGAACAAAATTAATGGCAGCCTTCCATTAAAACCAAGGTAAGATTCAAAATCAAAAACGCTACCTGAATGTCTAAGAACAACTTTCCAGATCTAGAATTTTAAATTTCTCTTTCACCAAGAAGTGTGTACAATTTTACAAACAAACCTCAAGGACAACTCTTCTTGATACATATGATGTGTTATATAGTACTTTTTACTATAAGGAATGTAAGGATTGGTTTCTGGAAACATATACTTCATCACACGTATCATACCAACTCTCCTTATACCTCCCACACTTCTTCATTGCCCCCAGTTCCTCAAAGACAGCAGCTTATAGTTCAGATTTCCTTGGAAACAAAAATATTAGCCTTCTCCTCTAGGACATCTCTTTCAAAACATAGCTAAACTTTGGCATAAGAGTGCACAGTAGAGAAAGCATCTTCTTTGAAACTGAATAATTTTTGAAAAGGATTAGTGTATCTCCTCCCTAATTCAAGATCCCTTCTACCCTGAGGATCTGAGTACCATCTGCCCTCTACTGAAGAGAAGCAGAGCTCTCAGTGCCTATTCTCTCATCAATGAGCTAAAACTCAGGGCATCAGATAGAAGAGTGGAACAGAGCAGTCTCTGAAAGCATCCTGTGCTATCTCAGCCTTCTCAACATATAGGAAAGAGAACGCGAAAGAAAATCTATGAGTGTCTGTTTCCTCTATCTAGAAATCTTTGTGTCATTCATTGGAGCAACAAATTTTGTAGAACACTGGCTTTATCTTCCTCACTCACAGAAAAAACCTGAGAAGATGGATTTTGCTCAGTTGTACAGACTCCTGATTAAAAAACAGCCCTACTTCATCCCTTCTTGTGGACTTTCATTAAAGGAACATATTGCAGGGGGGAGACTGTGTGACTGTGTATTTCTCAGAATTCATATCAGGACAGAGTTGGGAGGGGGGGGGGGATTAAAAATGCAATGCCTTCTCCAGAAAGAGAATGTATTTGGATGGACCTCTTTCTTTTGGGATCTAAGAATCAAGTTAAGCACTAGAATTTTTTCCACTTCACTTTACAAAGACAACATACATATTAAAAAACCCGAGACACAGACTGGAAGGAAAGAACAGAGGTTTCTTATCTTAGTCTACACACAGGTGACAGCAGAACCAAAAGCTTTGTTTACACAGCCAACAAAAGTATGAGACCTATTGCTATGCAATACAGAAAGAGTCCTCCCAGATACTGCCACAAATGACAGTCATCAATGCTATGAATGTGGAGCTACTAAAATTAAAGCTAGGTAGACATGATTTGTGAATGACACACTATACTAATCTCACAAACGTCAGACAAGAGAAGGAGGGATGCATACAAAAAAGGCATAAATTTAACAAGGTAAGACGGTAGGGAAATGAGGAGGTAGCTAAGGAGCTGCTCTTGTAGCTGTGCATGCAAATCAGGATGCCAGGACCCTGAGCGCATCTTTTGCTAGGAAAACAGACAGGGCTAGCTCACCCACTAGGTGGTAGGGAATTTGCTTTTATTTCTTTTCTCTGCTACCAGTGACATCTGGGTAAGCAAACGCAAAGTAAGGAAAGTAAATTCCTGTTGTCTTGAAACAGAAAGGAGAAGCTGAGGCAAGTGGCGATGTGTTGTTTAACCAGTAGTATTCCCACTTCAGCATGCAGAAATCCACTTCAAAGCTGGCCTCCAGCTGCAAACTAGCATCTTTCAAAAACACTGCAGATGATGCAATTTCCGACTGAAAATGGAACATGACTTAAAAGAAGATGAAGTGTATAATTAACTTGCAAATATATGAAGTCAAGAAAAATATCATTGCATTCAAATGCTTATTTACACAGGAGTTACTTATCATCTCAACCATTTATCTGTATGTTAGATTGAATATCAGAAAGAAAAGAAAATCAGCTGTAGATGGTCTGGTCAAAAACAATGAATGCTTCAGAATACATGAAATGCTCAAAGGTAATGTTGGTAAGGAATACAAGGGTATCATTTCCTCAAATAGAACAGGATGGAAATAAGGAAGAAACAGGCTAAATGACAGGAATAACTTCCAGAAAGCAAGTTACTTCAGTCTGCAATTTATATTGTGGATAGTCCACTGTTTGGATACTTAAATACTAAAACCATACAAAGAAAACTCTTTCAGTCTGGGAGATGAGCAGCTCACTTAGATATTTATTTCCATAAATACAAACTGTAAGTTTATATTAAAATATCTTTTTAAAGGGTTTTTTTTAACCTGTAGTTCTTAGGCAATTATCAAGTAGTAGAAGCCTGTAAATCTGGATTGCTGAATTGAAAGGCAGGAGAAATTAGCCATTTGTAGCTGATCTGCCAGGCACCCTCATAAATGATCTTATGACTTATGGTAACAATAGGGAAGGCTGGATCCAACAGCTGAAATCCTTCAGCCATGGATATATGGAAAATCGCTGACACCAGGCTAACCTAACAAGAAGTCGCACTGAGTACAGGTAGCACATCTTAATCTTAGTGGTCAATCATGATTTCTTTCTCCAGCAGTACACGCAGCAATTAAATGCTGTTCTGGCTTGAGGTACTTCTGACTCTTGGAATGAAAACAAAAATCTTGGGCTTAGGGTGTTAATATAAAAACTGTAAGATACAGATGTATTTAAAATATGTTTAGCTAGCATTTTAAAAATTATATAACCTTACACCCAGAAATATAATATAACACCATTTTTGTACCTTAAGTGGCATATGAAGTTATGGTTATGAGTAATCATATTTTTATATGTGAAACATTAATTTTGAGACCTTTGTATTTTTGGAAGGATATTAAATTGTATTGACCGAACACATAATTGCTAAAAATCCTAACATTATTTATCCCTGTACAGCATATACCACTTAAAGTACTACAGAATAATCTTTTTAACTTGCTATGTATAAAATTTAGTTGCTCTTCTTAATCAAGACACGTTTAAGATACTTTTAAAGAACACAGATAATATTTCTTTTAATAGAATAATCTAGGCTGGAAGAGAATTCTGGAGATCAGATAGCCCAACCTTCTTTCAAAAGCTGATTTCATTATCCAGAGTCCTACTGAGCCAATTATTAAGTATTCCTACTGCTAATACATTAAAGACACTCAGCAACCAGAGTTTATGAAATTGCAGTAAAAAATGCTACTGGATTGTATCACTAGTATGCTTGCACTTTCTCTGCAGTCAGCACCTTACCTGCAGGCCTCAGTAAGTCACAGTTTAGAAAACTATTTGCTTAATGAGTATTTCAACTTCATCTTATGGGAAAACTCTGCATTACAGTAACTCTGAACAGATTGACCATTCAGAGCATCTTAACATTAATTGTACAGATGGAAAGAGGGACTGATTGATTTTCTTGGAGATAGCGTCTGTGACACTGACAGCTGTAAAACTGGAATCAAACGTAACAGAAAAAATGCTGGTAGTTTTGACACTTTGCTAGAAGTCTTACTAACATGAAGAGAGATTCCTGGTTGCTGATGTAGAAAACGCTCCTTCTGTGATCCTTATTTAACTAAATAAAACTAATGTCTGATGGAGAGATTAAAAATACCCTGTGATTTAAAAACCAGCAATATGGCAGTGATATAGAAATAATCTAATTCTGCTAAATAGTAGTAGAGAAGATTTGACAGTTTGGGAAAGGAAGGTACAAAAAGAAATTCAACATAAAATTTTGACACAAGGAAAGCAAAACCTTGAATAAAGAAGAAAACTAAATAAGCTGAAGACAAAATGTTCTCCAGGTTTTGTGCCACTGCTGCACACACTAAAAATGAACTGAAGGGCAGATCTTCCCATCTTGCATATGCCTGCATATGAAAATCAGAAAATGCCACCTTAATACATCAAGTACTCAAAAAGTACTTTTTGGAGAGGATAGAGTTTTATTTTTCTTTTTAAAGAAGAAAACCATCTGGTGAGTAATACCATTAGTGAGAAACACAAGAGAAAAAAAATATAAAAAGGAAAAACATACCCACCTGGCTACTGAATACATAAACAGAAAATCATTGTCAGGTGATCCAGGACTCTTACTATAATCTGTATACTTCTTCTGTGTGGTACTTTTTATATCTTTCATCACAGATTCCATTTCTTTACTGAGATTGGTTTCAGACTATGAATAAAAACACAAAAAAATTTGTTAATTTTACCTGAAAAAATACAATAGCTGATCACAAAGCGCAGCACTTTCATACTTATAAAAAAGGGATTTGCAGATTATGGAAAAATATGCATTAAAAGCTAATATTCTGTCTCACAGAAGTGTTATAATATTCTGAAAGTTATTCTGATTTGTTTTGAATATGAAAATATCACTGTTTTGTCAATCTCCTAAATTCAAGAATCTTACTGCTTGCCTTATTTTAAAGTATATTTGCATTGCACAAGTACATGAAAATAACACAAAATATCTCCATCAAGACTGGAAGGCTAGCAAAAATTTAACAGAATTAATTCTATCATGCAGAAAGACTACATGAAGTTTTACAATACATGAGCATCTGCAAACTGCTCTTCTGCAAAACAAATAATCCATACCTTAAAATGTTCTTAATAAACATTCTTTAAATAGTTTCCAGTTACAAGGATATTGGTGTTTTTACATTGTAAAGAAACGATAAATGAATTTTATATTTGTGACTCAATTCTATGTAAATTACTATGGAGAGAAGTGAAAATGAACTCCACAAAAAATTATATTTCGTCATAGCCATTTTGTCATAGCTTTTTAATTGTTAATTTTTAGTAGGTAATGCAATAACTGCTGTAAATATTTTAAATTTCTTGATATTAAAAAAATAGTATGCTATCTTCCATATCAGAAGAAAAGGAAGTTTCCCAGGTTGTCGAGTTTCTAAGAGGTCACAAATGCGACATAATGTAAAAACTGAAAGGTAAAGGCAAATTAACAAGGATCTTTCTGCCTTACACTGATGCTTACTGGGAAAGTTCCCAGCTGTTCTTGAAGATCTTCCACCTCTTGTACAAGATCTTGGATATGCTTGTTACTATGACTTGGCCAAAGGCTTCTTTCCACATTGTTTCCAGGATAACAAGGAAGAACACTGTTAGCAAACTGCCTACAGAGGGGACAGGTAAATTCTCCTTTGTCCACTGAAAAACCCTGGAGGACCTGGTCATTCTAAAAGAAAATAAAGAAGATGTAGCTGAAATTTGCAAAGTATTATTAATTTTTAGTTTGATATTTCATGTGTATAGCTAAAGAACTAAGTCTAAAATAAAAAACTGTAAAGAAAGAATAATTGGAATAGCTGCTCATTTTAGTGAAAAAGGTCTTAACTACCAGAGACCATCTTACAATTCTCGAACTCAACTAATTTCCCTAACTTTTAAGTACTCTTCATTGTCAACAATATCCCCATAATAAACTAGAAATACTTCAATGGGGTATTTTGAGTATTTCTCATGTGTTGTCTCTTTCTAGCAATTACCAATAAAGTTTGAGACTCCCTTGATAACATCTTTTAATTTATCAGTCATTAGAAATATTTGAAGATACTTCTCAGAAGAAGTACAGGCTGAAAAACCTAATCAAGTAGCCATTGGAGGGCAGCTTGACAAAAACCCTGATCATTTCTTCTTTATCATGAAGGATCAAAAAATGGACACAGAAGTACTTATTGGGGAATTGGGGACATCTCCTGAGTACTTCTGTTACTGGCAAGCAACCTTGCTTCAGCTTTGTGAATTGCCTCAACGGTTTCCCATTCCTGGGAGAAGAAAACTGCTGTGTTAATAGTGACTGTAATTTAAACTTCAAGCAATCAGCCCTGAATGCTGAGGCATTCTGGTAAGCCTATTTTTACATACCTTTCTGGATGTTGATCTCTGATTGTATTATGTAAAAATAAATGTTTTATTCAGATGAACACAAGTCATCGCACAATTAGTTCAGTACTAAGAATGCTAGGAATAGTCAAAATTATTATGCACTCATCTAAGTAGTAATACATGTTAGGATCAAAAGTTCTCTTAAATAATCTAGAAATCTTCAGGAATGTGAGATGGCATTAACAGTTCATTTTCAAGTTTAAGTGAAAATCCACCAGAAAAGGGGCTTCAGTGCCTATATGATGCAAAAGATTACTTTTCCAAAATTCTGTAAAATTAAATTCTATCATGAAAACCCAGATTTTACTTAATTATCTTGGTGAAACGATTACCCCTGAAAGCATCTTTACAGTCATATAGGAAAGAACAATTCCTCATGGGATCCGATAAATGTGGCACAGATTCCAATTTCTCAGTATGACCAATACTGATTCTTAAAAAACAAAACATTGCTCCTTCTTTTTCTCAAAATGGAAACAAATCAACAAAACTTATAAAAAAATAAAACTAAAGAAATATCACATAAAGTAACCTTGAATAAAAAAAGCAGTTCCATCTGCAACAAGAAGTCATCATTTAGTCTTTATTTATTACACTAAAGAATACAGAAAGAAATGATTGCTGAAAATCTGGTGTTATGGCACCATAACATTCTATGGTTATTCTACCATCTTCTATGCAGAAGATCTGCAATTGGGCTCTGGTGTTATGGCACCATAACATTCTATGGTGCCATTCAGAAGATCTGCAATTGGGTTGCAAGAGGTTGAGGGGGGCGAAGGAGGTCAACATTAATGGAACAGTACCATGTTTTCTCAGACCATGTGAAAATAAGGATGTCTTTTCTAGCCAACAATTTCTGAGGCTTGACTAACAAATTGTACTTTAAAGAAATTATAGCAGTAATTTCCCAACAGTATTTTCTAGGAAGAAAGAAAAAAAAGAATAATTCACAAGAGTCAAACTATTTTAACTCATACATAATGAGATAAAAATCTAACTTTTCGTAACTGAATTTTCATATTAGAAATTAACCAAAACCACAAGTTTATATTTGTAAAATTCCCCTCTCATTTTTTCTTCAGTTTCTCTCTAATTTCTAACACGTTAAACATCAAAATAGGAACTGATGAAACAGAAATGAAAAGTGTATGAAGTGCTGAACCTGAATAAGCACACAAGGAAATAAAAAAAACCAAACCCAGTGATTTAGTTTAAGAACAGGATTAATTTAGCCAAGTATTTTTTCTGAGATATCAGGATAACTGAAAACAAAGTACTTTTGTTAATAATGTCAAGATGTAATAAGAGATTTAGTATCTACTGTTCTTGAAACACAGTAAAAACCAGATGTCTATTCATGTAAACCCAATCTTTCTTTCTCTGAACTGAAGAGCATAAATCCAATTGACTCCACTAGGAACAGTTCAGATCCAAAAAAAGATGATCTTTAGTTTTACTTACCCGTAAAGATTCCATGTAAGATTTGTGACAATCTATGTGTAAAGTGTGACCACAAGTTTGTACATAAACGCCTCCTTCCCACCCTATTGACACTGCTTGCAGACAGGAACTCTAAAACAAATCAAAAACATTAAGAAAAAAGAACACATATAAAGTTATAAAGGCATTTACCACAACTTATTTTAAGATTTAAAAAATACATAATTTCTATTTGCATGCTATCTAATTAAAATACATACTGTAAAAATAAAGAAAAATTTTATTTCATAAAGTATTTACTTGTGCTAAACTACACGGCTGCCACGACGCTATTCTTTCCAACAAAGAGCCAAACACGTAAGTTAAAATTCTGCAGTTCTAGTCACTTAAGAAAATGAATTTTTTAAAGAACTCTTGCATCACAGTGTGAAGACAGCTCTAACTCTACCATCTGTTCCAAAAGTACCAGTTATCCCATGTCCAACGGCAATATACTGCTCCAACACATTTCATTCTGTTTTGTATGTAACCAAAATAACAAGACCACAATTATATAATTAACCCCAATCTGTTATTGAAATTCAGTGTAAACACTTTCGATTTTTAATGAGTTGTTGAACAATATTCCATATAATACATCATAAAGGGAAAAGAGAACAAATACTTGTTTAGTGAATTGAGTTTTATGCTAAATTGTTTTAAAAACATTGGCCTTACTCAAAGGCTGCACTTATAGCCCACATGTCAAAAACAAAGTTAATGCACTGGTAGTTCTCAGAAAATAATGAACTTAAAAAACAGCCACCACTGGCAAACTCATGATAAGGAATTCTAGAAAATTCTCTTGCAGAATACCTAACTATAGTCAGTCTAATTATTAAAACTCCAATTCTCAAAAGAATAATTTCATACTCGGATTGAAATGTACATCCTGGTTATACATCTAAAGAACAGAAAAAGACTTATGGCTACCAGAATTGGAAAACAATTTTTAGTGTAGACTCACCCTGAAATGGTCTTAATATATGATGCAAAACCAGGGTTGAACTGGTATGCAAAACCATAATGAACTCTGAGAGTTGCATCTTCTAAGGACATCCTAGCATCTCATTTTCTTTTCCTGCATATGAGCAGGAAATCAGAACAAATCTACAAATTGTAGCTACAAGACATTCTCCTATTTACCTTGCCTCAATCTGACATTCATAATGTGCTATGACCCTCTCAGGCCATAGAACAAGCAAAACTTTTTCTCCTGGTGGTTCCTGCATAATTTAGCAGACTGCACGATTAGTAAAATCGTATGACACAGCTGGATAAGCCCCACAGGACAAATGTTTCATTCAAGAAAAGCATGATTTATTGCAGGTATGTAACAAGGCTACTTAGTAGCATTTGCATTAAAAAAAATCAACCCCTAAGCCTTTGCAGAAAGGCTTTACTCTATTATTCTTGAGTTGAGAAGATTCTAAAGTAAGCCATAGTCTTGGGATGGAGCACACCTGTATCAAATTTTTGGTTACAGAGGACTATATGATTCTGAAAATAGTGCTATCAATGTAGCATATGAAGTTTATCTCCTAATCCTTAGTCATACCTCACCATATTAAAAATTATCACTGTCAGTGATTTTTCCTTTAATGGGCAGGAACTCTACTCCCTGACTGACAGCAAGCATCAAATTTCACCTAGGAAAGCACAAAAGGGAACTCTATCCAGAGAACTCAACAGTTCTGCCCAATCTGTACATAGCACGCAGCTTTTGAATATTTTTTTTCTTCTAGTAGAATAAACTAGGACATGTTTCATAACTTAAAATTTTCACACCTAAGTGAAATTACTCTCTTGCCTCCTGAAATCTGTTGTTAGAAGAAGGACACTTATTGCAAAGGACACAGCTGATAAACAAAAGGGCTTCTTATTGCTTAGCTCAGCTGAGCAAGATGCTCAAGACACTAACAGATGTTTCCATTTTTAGGCCAAAAGAAATTTAAAGATTAGTTCTTTCACACAGAGACATTTTTTAGCACAGTAGTGACGTGGAAACTTAAAAGGAAAAATAGCTAATTCAACTAATGTTTGAATCAGGACTGGGATTTTTGAAAGCAGAATGCTCACTGTATTACAGTATATTTTTGACTAATCTGTTGGTAGTGTTACTGCACAGAAAGGGAAATATACATTTCAGTGAAATCAAGTTTTTGAGTAATTTTGTGTGGAACTCCTTCCATTTGTGATATGCAAACATGTGAAAATAAAGCTACAGTATTGCTTCAATGTTTTTAATCACTTCAGTAGGAAAAAATACTCATTAACTATTAGAAACAATAAACAAACATCATCGATGTCAAAAAAAGAAAAACTCGTCCACAGATTATTTCTAAACTAAAATATCTTTTGTTCAGAATTAATTTCCTACTTACACCTTTTGAAGTTTTACTTTCTAGCAAGGAAATACGTAATATTTGCCCCAGGAGAAAGTGCTTTTCTGAAAACATTGCCCAACTTTTAAAACTATATCAATTATGACATTTATTCTAAATTAATCTACTCTACATAAGCAAGCCTGGTTGCAGTTGGCAAATTCCAGTTATCTGTGGATGACAGATTATGAGAAAGCCAGTAATCGTGTCAGAGTAAAAATTGGCACAGTTTTTCCTCTTTAAAGCTTCTGAAGGCTGATTATTTAGTTAGATCTGCCTAAGAGCTGGTATGTTACCTGCAACTAGTCTATAGGAGGTAACCCAGGGTCACAGGTTACATATTCTTCTCCCCAAGAATATCTCCAAAAAATTATGTATTATCTTACATGGCTGTTTTAGAGACGAGCAAGGAAAGTCACAGGCAGCACTAACACAAAAGTCTGCAACTGAACAACTCCTGTTAAGCAACAAGAATTGGCTCTCAATATTAAACATGAGAAGCAGTAATGTGCCTTTGTGAAGCAATGTTAAACTCTGCTTGGAACAGGTAACAGAACTGCAAAACAGGAAATAACATACCAATTAAGGTAAAATTGAACTTCAGTGATGTTGTGCAGAGTTGAAGATTCAGCAGAAGAGGGTGAAGTCTTCTGCTGATCCCTCCTTCCCATCCACTCACCCTCCCCGTCTCTGTAGTGGCTCAGAAAAACTGTTACAGGTCAAAACAACTCTTTCCACTTACTCTATGCTGCCTAAGATACTTTTAAGTGATTAAGAGTAATTCCTTGATCAGGTTTTCTGAATGGCCACAAGAAAACTGGTGTTTTGAAAGTGATACTTGAGACAGCAAAACCATATCTCAATTGTATGGTCACACGGAATTGTGAAATACCTTCTTCTAGAGAACATCTGCATGGATATTTAATGACTATATAGCCTGTGGATAAACTAGATGCCTACGTCAGAAATGTAACTAGGGAAAAGACAGACACTATTTAAAAATAAGGACCCTATCAAATGCGAACACTTTATTGCAACATGACAAAACGTTCACTAAATGCAGAAATGAAACTAGGAGGACTCTAAGTTGTAATTTCATTTAGCTTTTTACACAAGTTTTTCTAAAGTGGTAGTATTGTTCGTATGAAATACGTACATCTTTAAAGTACCGCTGCAAAGTTGTAAGCCTCACATCATGCAGTGCTGCACAGGTATCCCAAGGGTATATTTGCTCCTCTTCAGCAGTTGGTAGTTTCTTTGGCTCAGTGCTATTGCGGCATTGTCCCAACACTGTATGAAAAAAAGAAGCAATATAGAATGCAATGGATGACAATATGCTAAACAATTAAGAAAACAATCAGGAAATTCTGGTTTGCAACTACAGTGTACTTTATTGATGTTAAACATTAAAAAAAAAACCACACTAAATACTGCAAGTTGTGCTTTTGCACTTGTACATGAAGTATATAAACATATACAAACACACATACGTCTAGATACATGGATGACTTATTTTCTTTTAGTACCCATTTTCCCACAGGTCTATTGTACACTGCTGGGTTTGCAAAAGCTAACAGGAACTAGGAAGGAATGAAACGGTTCACTCTTTTCCCAAGCATTTAAAATTGTTCTCAGTACCCTTAGGCCTACACATGTGCCTCATGGAGGACCATGCACAAAAAACCAGAAGACTGTCTTTCCAGGCTCCATGAGACACAACAGTATTTATGCGCAGACACTAAAAGCTGCAGAAACACCGCCTGTCCAGCGAGCCACACATTCATACCTGAGGATGCTTGTAATAGTACAACTAGCCCTGTAGGTCTGTCTTCAGTAGAAGGACCACTTTGTCCACAAATAACACAATCATATATTGCCTCAGAAACATGCTGTTCTGATGTAGCTACCTCCATGGCGATATCAGCATCTGGCGATTCTAAAAAAAGATAAGAAAATTGGTATTAAACAATAAATAAAATAAAAAATAATCTCTCTAGTTTATCGAGAACTAAAATGTTGACTGTTACTTGAAACTTACCTTGTTTCTTCAACAAAAAGACACCTACACAATTAAGTGCAAGTCTTCCCATATTAAAATTAATATGAATTTTTAATATTAAAAACAATTAATATTTAATATTTTAATATTAAAAAACAATTAATTCCCAGTGGAATTAAATGTTTAGTTCAAGTTTTGTATTAAACTTGATGTCTTTAAAATTTATATAAAACAGAGATCTAACTTCTATTTCATTAGATACTATATTGAAAACTCTGAAGAGAGAGATGAAGGGAAATGAATATGAATCTCTACTAAAACCAGATTTGCTTATAACTGACTAACAACAACTAGAAGGAAAAAGTTAATCTGCAGACCTTAGAAATAATTTAAAGATGCTTAGACAAGGCGAATGAAATATTCAATAAAAAGGAAAGATTTTTTTAAGTACGAAACTTGGACAATCTTTAAAAATTTGAGGTGCATTAAGAAAGTGATCTGCTGCTATGCAGCAGAAGTTTAGTTTAACATTTACTGTATACAAGACAGAGGTCTTGTTTTCTAATGGTCCACACTATTATGTCCTAGGTGCATGGACAGAACTGTTCAAGGCTAAGGACCAGCTTCAAAGTACTGACACAATTGCACTTGATGTAGCTTTGTTGACACGACAATTAGTGGTGGTGGTTTCAGGGCAGGGGGCTAACCAAAACAGAAACAATTTTATGTTATGTTACAATCCAAGGTCTTTATTGGCTTGAAAGAAAAGCATCCTAGGACTAGATGATCCTCTCCTGACTGCTCAGGAACACATACAGTCTGCCTCACAACCTAAAATATAAGGGTGCTTTGTTTCTTTTCTAGAAGACAATTTTTCCAAAGGAAAACACTTCCTTCCTACCTTCAGTCATTCCTTTTATCTCCTTGATTAACTAGACCAAGGTGCTGGACAGAGAACCCAAAAACCCTGACTGCAGCAACAGTCCTCATGCAGAACTGCTCTCTTCTAAAAGTCCATTACAAGTTCAGCACAGGAGGCCTGCTGAGAGGCATGTTGGATGCCAGTCAGCATCTTTCTTTGCTATGAAAAGCTCCACACAATGCTCTCGCTCAGAGGGCAGAATCAAAATTACACTGTTTTAGTAACTACTGAGTTCCCAGTCAGTTATCGAGGGTCCTATGAAAATGAACTCCGGTCTTAGCACTGACATATAGTTAATTTTGCACACACGTCTATCACCATCTAGTGGCAGTCAGATATACCATGAAAGAAAGAGCAGAATGCATCAACTGCAAATGGTTTTTATTTTTTAAGTCCAAACATCCAGAAAAGCTAGAAGCAACTGGAGCACAGAAGGGAGGAAGTAAACACTGAAGCTATTTGGTTTATATTTAGCATCACCTCATAATGCACACTCACATATTCCGGTGTATCAGAAGCAGGCCATGAGAATGACTAGAGAGTTCCAGGCTTATTTATATTTTTCTAAATGTTGTCAATACAACATAAAATATGCATCCATTCAATGTTTTCAAGAAGTGTAGTAATAAAATATAGTGTGTCAATCTGATTTTGAACAACTCAATGGAAGTCCTCAAAATCAGTCAACATTCCATTTACAAAATACCATTCATTAATCAAAAATTGCTTATTTTACAACATAAGGAAAAAATATGGATCTTAGTATTTAAAAGATGTTTCAAACCAATTCAGCATATGTAATCTATATTTCTACTGTCTATGTGCAACAGGCACACAAATTTAGTTTTAGAACTCAATGATCAAATGCACGGTTCCTTCACAACTACCTAGATCTAGAGCTAGGCTACCTGGGCAAACAATAAAATTTCAAGGGAACTAAACTTCCAGCATCAAGGAAGACTTCCTAATAAAATAACTTTCCCCAGAGCTAGTGAAAGAAAACAATGTCAACTTACACAAAATCCATGGGTAAGAGAAATTGGCAAGAATTTAAAATCTCAAATAATTAAGCAGACAAAAAACCCCCAAAACCTCAACCAAACAAAAACCCCGAATTCTTTTTAAATGGACAAAACTGGGTTACTGACTTAAACTAGCCATTAGCTTCTCTGGAAGATAGGACTTGGGCTATGGTTTGTTTGAGAGAGTACATTTCGGCAGTGTAATTCCTGGAGTGAAAATACATTGATGGCAGTCTGGAAAAAAGAAAGCAAGCTATGCATATAGCAATGACGTCTATCTGTCTGTCTTGCCTTACTGAGTTTTGCCTCTGTAGAGCTACTGTGGAAGCCAAGACCCTGGCTCACCAGCTACATGATCTGCATACACTGTCAAGGACCACAACAAACATGTTTCAATTCAAAATACTGTTGAAAATGAGACAGACTCTTTCCTGCAAACCTTGTTCTAAATTATTTCGTTAATGCATTGATATTTGTGAATATAAAGCAATTGGCACATCTCCATTCTACTTCACTTTCAGTTACAGATCTGCTATTTCACATGGGTAAAAATAAAACTAAACTGCATTTTACTGCAATAGTACTTATACAGAAGGTTAAAATGCCCAGAAACTTGTAACTCCACACCTTCTCTTTTTTTTCCATTTCAAATACAGAATTGCTTTGTGTGGGATTGTAATGCTATTAATTTGATTTAGAAAATACAGGTTCTTACCAATTTATAAAGCATGAGCTAACACTTCCTAGCTCCCAGAATGCAATTATAAAAAGACAGCTTATGAAGAATGAATATTTTATTAAATGTCCATTCATATGGATGAAAAGTCTTTGTAGTCGAACATTGATTGTAATATAACACAAATTTCCTTCTATTCTGGCTTAAAACCCCACCCAAATCACCACTAAGAACTGTCACATGAACAGTTGCTACATCAGTTGCAACTACAAGGTAAAGAATAATCTAAATCTCCTTATTTTGCTTCCACTGGTGCACAAAGCTCCAACATTTTTTGCTGACACTACAAAGGTATTTCCTTGAAAATAGCACTTGTGTGTTACGTCCCAGAAAAACGTTGCCTTATTCAGTGGCAAAGGAATCCTTTGCCAGTGATTTGCTAAGATACTGATCCTGAGGCATATTACTCCTCCACTTTCAAACAGGTTTTGTAGGACCCTGCAGTATTTTTTTTTTTTTTGTGTGAAAACCACTGGCACCCAAAACAAGACTTCTCGTCACTCTACTGAAGATTCAGAGAGCAGACAGTGGCAACAGGAGAGCAAGAAACACCAAGGTGGCTTTAGTTGCTCGGCTGAAGCATGACTTTACTAGCCAGGCAGCAGTCACATGAGACAGTAAGTGTATTTAATGTAAGCATTCTTTGGGGTACCACCAAAGATGCTTACAGTTTAAACTGACTCTCCAAAGACTTAACCTAACTGATTTCACAGAGACTTGTCCTGATGATGTCAATGTGTGTGAAGGAGAAGTAAATGAGAAATACAAGATAAGACACATTGTATTGGTATCAATTCACCAAGTTTCTCTCATGAGGTTTATCTAATGTTGTAACACACCCCACCCCCTTACAGTAGGTTCTGGGACTTTTCTTTGTCCTCGTGAATTATTTCAGAAACCTGAATAAATATGAACCACATTAAAAACAAAGATAACACTGAAGCAGGGTGAAAATATTTTAACTGTAACAGAAATCCAGGGTAGTGCCAAACACTATCATTCCCATGGATTTTTTTAAAAGTTATTTAGCTCTTTGGTTTTGTACCAACAGGAATAAGTGTTTCAAAGTTACAAAATCCTAGCATTTCCTACTTCCTAGCAGATACTGATCAGTCTGCTAAAATCTAGCACACTGTTTTATCACAGAATGCATCGCTGCCTGAATTTTATTTCATTAGTACTCTCCAGAGTTAGATTCACTCCTCTTCCTTCCCCTACCCAGCATAACCCCAGAACCAAAAGGGCTCTGTAAACACAGTAAACAGTTTACAATCACTGCTGACAGTAGTGAACATTTTACTGCTATATACACTGTGTGTCAAAGCGGCCCCTTGGCATCAAAGCAACCATTAGCATGCTAATATTCTTTGCCCTGACCCAGCATATATATTCTCAAGAGAGAAGAACCTAATTTATTTTTCTATCTGGGTTCAGAAGATTGAGTGTTAGGAAATGTATGTCACCTTGCATTAAAACTCTACACTTCTTTTTAACTCTAGTTAAGGAACAAACGTTTGCTTGAAGGACAAAATGACATCCTGCCGAGACTCACATCATCAGAAAGAAACACAAAAGATCAGACCACATACTTATCATGAGGTAATTAAAAAAAAAAAAATTACACTGGGCACCTCAGAGACAGTAAAACTACTGAAAGAACCTGAGGTATCTTAATATTTGTAATTTACAAATTAACCAATTTACAAATTTTCAGAGATGCATTTGATTAAGTAGTTCAGCAGCTTGCCTGGAATGGATCATAATATTTCATGTTTATAAAACTTAGATAGACAGACCATTGCAAAGTAATTTGTTAAATTACTATTAACCTGGAGCAGACAGATTAATTTTTGTTCTTATCAAGTCCTGCCTGAAAGGTAGTGAAGTTTAAAAAAATCTCTTGCATGGAGTTCCACATCACAATAGATAAACCACAGCCTCGCACTAAGTGCTCCCAAAGATGTAAAAGTAGCTGTTACTAGGATACTAGAAGGCCTATAGAGCTAACGCTGTGACTACCTGACAACACATTTTTGACTTGGTAGACGTTCTCCTCAGATATTTCAAGAGCTCTATCTGCTGCTCTTAGAAAAATGTTTCTCAGTTTATTTTTCTGCTTTTTACATTTCTCCTGCAGGCAAACAGCTAAAGACAGCACAGTGGATTCTGTTCCACCCTAGTTCATTAACATAACTGTTTCTAAATTTCACTTAATTACTTCCAGGCAAGCTTGAAAGGCAATGCAGTTCTGCAGATGTCACAGAATATAAATAGAAAGTAACAGGGGGCGCAAATGGAAAGAGATAAATAATTGGATTTTTTTTCTGCAGTGATCATATGCAAGAAAATGCCAACTTTTACTTTCAGAATCTCAGATGAACTTGTGAATTCCAATTCAAATAAATAATTTTTGCTGGTAAAATGAAACACATTTAATATTGAAAAATGAAACACATTTAATATTGAAAAATGAACGTGTAATTGGGTAACTTGTTTTAAAGCCGTGTTTCATTGCAGCATCCCAACAATCAAACAAGAGGAATGCCTCAGGGGAGTAACAGTGGCTCTGTGCAGTTTAATAAACACTTTGGAAACTATTAAGTTTATGGGGTTTTAATAAAATAATCTTTAAGCTTTGGCTATTCTCCATTATTCATATCATCTTCTAGACACATTTACTTTCAGAGCATTTTCAGCCTTTTACACTGGCAAGAGAAAATTACTAGGAAATTTTTGAAGTGCAATACCCAAAAGCAATCACACCAGTTCTCATGTTTTACCACTGAATCACATCCACATTTCATAGACAGAGATGATGATTAAAATAATAATTTGCTCAAATGACACCAACTGAATCGGTGACAAAGCCAGGGAGTCGAGGCCTCACCATCCCTGCATTCTGACAGTGTTACTACTGTTACAACAAGCAATCAAAATTAAGAAATAAACCTACTGCTGAATTTTAATGTATAATAAAAATAACAGGTAACAGAGTTTGAATGTATGAGAAGTGACTGCATTTAAATTGACTGATTTTAGCATAAAAGGATTTTTTAGTTTTCAATCATACTATTTCAGAATACCTATGACACAATTCAGGGTAAGACTATTAAATCCTTGTATTAGTTTTAAGTTGAATCACTCCAGAAAGACTGGTTTCAGAATTCTTACCATGTCTGGTGTTTTAAAATTAGAGTAACAATAGTTTCTGCAACTTTTTCAACAATTTGCTGTAACATACAGAGACTGCATTCACAGCTGAACAAATGACTTCAATTAAAAAAAAATAGAACAAACAAAAAAAAAATATCTCTGGCAAACAATCTAGGGTTTAAAATAAATCCTAAACCCTATAATGGAATATATACTTCCTTTCTGCAAACTGTTTTAATGTCATCTAGAACATAAGAGCTAATTAATACTGGACTATAGTACAAACTCAGTGAATTTTTGTCACAAACTCAGGAAGTAGTATGGTGACCTAGAAGACACCAAGAAAAGTTAGTGAAAAAGAAAAGCAATTATTCAGTCAACTCAGTGCTTGAAATTCTATTAGGTTGTTGCCAAGAAATGTCTTTATGCAAAACAACTTTATGGAAATGTTGTCCATTAAGTTGATTCTATCTACTGCTGTGCATGACTTGGTATAATCGCCAACAAACACTACATTTTATGTTGAGAGAGCTGAAGATATTAATTGTTTAACTGCTAAGAAACAAACAATTTAAGTGTTGCATCCCCAAGAACTTTTTAACGCACAATCATAAGCACAAAGGCCCAGGTCTGCTTGTTAAAGAAAGGAAGAGTTCTTTTAATATTTAACATACATAGTTAAGTAAAAGCTAAGTGTTCCCAGTCCTTTGCATAAATAAATGCTGTGCAATTTATTGATTTAACTAGTATGCCTCACAAATTAAAGCAGTTATCTTAAACATAGCTTATAAAAATCATGGGAGTGTTTATGCATACATATGTATATATGCAAATACAACTATGACAGGTAAATACATACAGATACATATGTGATTTCATATGTAAAAATATCAACTTTAAAGTTGCAATATCAAGAATTCAAAATACAGGTGACTGAAGAATCAAAGTTTCCTAGTTGCTTTCCATTAGCCACAACTGTAAAAAGACTTAATTTTTAATATGTAAAACTGCAAGTTTCTTCCTCCCTTCTTCCTTCAACAAATAGATTAAAAAGAAATAGCTATACATTTAATAAACATGACTTAAACTAATTTTTATCTGTGAACTTGGTGTTATATTGCACACTCTCCAAACTTAACATCAAATGCACAGTCATTAATTTGCTAAAGGAATTTAAATTATTTCAATTAATAAATCTTCTCAGCAACCTATAAACTGAAAATAATTTATCAATTTAAAAAACCCAGACTTTTTCAGCAGAAACAATTGTCAAAATATTTCTAACCAGTGCTTTAACTCAAATAAAAACTACATAGAAGATGATACTTGATTGAGAGAGGGGGAAAAAAGAAAAGATTCCTGCTTTTTCTTATCTTTGAAAAGTACTAATTTTCAATTAAGTAAATGATATGATAAAAATATTTTCCATTCCTCAGTTAAACACGAGCAAACTAATCAAGATTATGCACTTTGCAGAACCTGAAAGAACTTATCCTCAAGAAAATCAAGAACTGATTCTGCTGTAAAGCCTGTACTTGAAACAGAATACAATGTTATCACTTAGAGCAACTGAGATGACCTAAAAATTGTCCTTTCCTTAATTCTAAATTTAAAATGCAAAACTTTTACCCTATCAAAATATGAGGCTCTATGAAAAAATAATCTTAAATTTTATCATTACAGATTAAAGAAAATGCAATCTTTATGAGACAAACTAACTTTGCAGTGTTTTATATTAAAAGACAAATACTTTAAAACACATCACACACATTTATAATCATTTCATCCACTGTATATTAATAAAAATAGGAATAAAATCATGTCCTACAGAGAATGTGTTATCTCTGAAATATTTTCAAGATCATTTAATCTCTTATTTAGCAATAATGTATTCAGTATTATCTGTCCTAGAAAACACAACTTTAAGCCTCTTAAGAAGTATTTAGTGAACAAGCGGATACAGTAGTGTAATCTGAGGGGAGCACTTTTTGTTTGGGGTTTCTTTTTTTTTTTTAACTATTTGAGTAAAAACCTTAATATTAACACAGATTTTTTTTTTTTTTTAAGGCAGCAAGCAGTCAACCACACAAAAACTCACCAACATCCATGGCGGTTTCCATGAAGCTTTTCTGCCTTGAGGCAAATTCAGCCAATAATTTCTGTTGCCTTTCTCTGGCCTTCTGTCGTCTGAGTGAAAGAAGAGTGGGGAAGAGGAAAAAAAAAAGGAGCATATATAGTAATTAGTTTATAGTATCAGGCTGATTACAGTTGCTACCTTTGACAATATCATTAAAAATTAAAGTTTTCTCTAAATAAAGGATTAATTTTCAAGTCTAAAAGAGGAATATCTTGCCTTAAAAGTAGAATTTTTTTTAAGAAATAAGAGTTATTTCCTCTTAAGTCTGAAATAAAATAATGAAAACCTGTCCTAAAAAAACTCCCAGAAAATGAAAGGATCCTTTAACAGATTAGGACATGGCATCATAAAAAAAAGAACCCAAGACCTTATTCTTCAAAGCTATTTTTCTGTTATGTAAAAGAAGAATAACAAAGTGAAATGTCAATTGTTGTACAAAACCAAGTACTCTTGTGAGCAACCAATGTTTACAAGTTGATGATAATAATAGTGGTAATAGTAATAATAATAATAATAATCCTACCTCACTCACTTTTGAGATCAAGCTTGATGCCAAGAGAAACAATTATGAATATTTTCTTTTCCAGCTAAGGCTACTCATACTGGTTCCTTCTTTCCCATCTCCTCCTTAGATAATGGTCACCAACAGCTTTTAGATTGCTTCCAGATTGAGGGCCCTCACTTCCCTGAAGCCAAGCTTACTTCACTAACTTTTTCCTCATCATTTAATACAGCTCCAGATTTACAAATGGAAGACATCAGAGACTCATTCCTGTCTATCCTTCTGTTTAGGCTGTATTAGCCATTTGTACAAGGCTATATGACCAGCTATTCTATAGCTCCCTATATATACATACTGGAGCGTGTAGAGGAATAGTGATGGATGTATAAAGACAAAGCAAACAGACACTGATTTTCTTCTTCCTGAGGTACTAAGAAATGATCTTTACTTTGACAAGAGTTTACAAATAGAGGAAATGGGAGTGCTCAAGTGGGAAAACCAAACAAAACTCACACCACAGCTGCTCATCACACGGCACATGCAGAGACCTGTGTGCCCCCCAGATGAGGGCTTTCTGCAGCACCATCCCAGTGTGGCAAGAGAAGCTCTACCACAGCTACAAACTCTGTGCATCAGCATTTACAATGAATCTTTTCCCCCACTCAAAGATGATTCAAATAACCAACAAAGGAATTAAAAACATCACTTGGCATCTGATATGCTGATGGGTTGCTCTTTAGTCTCCAGCACTGTCCGATTATCACTGTCCTAGCACAGGAACAGGCACGCGCAGGCCCAAAGCAGCTAATATACTGTAGCCTCTTATCCCAAGGTGGCCTGTTTGTAAGTCAAAGCTTCTGACTTGTTTTCTTAAAGGCAGCTTAAAACCCCAAATATCTCTGCCTAGTTATCTGTCACATTGTACAGCCACCGTTTCTCAAAATAACTTCTATTTACAACAATCCTAAGATTCATCATTCTGAGGATCATACCAGGGCATTCATTAAACCTGTTTTTATTTTATTTCTCCCTGGGAATTTCTCAATATACGCCTTGACTAAAAGCAGAGTGACTGTAGAGAGAGGCCTTTAATAAGAAGACATAAACAAACTCTGACAGATTCAGTACAGCTCAGTAATTTTCCATGATGGCCCATGGGAATATGACACCGCAGTTGAAAAAATACTGCAAGCAGCTCAAGCTCTCTTGTAGCTCTGTATTTCGGTTTCTATGGTGACAACCCATTGCCTAAATGATGCCAAGTTTGTTATTATAAGCTGAAGTAACCAAAAAGGTTGACCACTGAATGCTCAGTCTGCTTGATCTTCACTAATACAAAACTGGACTTGGGGGACAGAGAAAAATTTTTAAAAAACCCATCAAAAAGAGAAAGTAAAATTGCAGCCTGATTATATGGGCACCGTCAAGTCTATGAGATTAGTCATTTCAGCTATCGTACTGTCCATAAATAAATTTCATGGGTCCCCAGTGCCATTATAGATTTGAGGAGAAGAAAATAGTCACTTAGAACAACAAAGAACTGGAAACATTTATTTTCATCATTATGTTAGCCCCAGAACTTAACTGAAAATTTAAAGTGCCCACAATAGATCCTTGAAAATATCACATCCTTTATGTGGGGAAAGGAATGGCCATACCCTTTTCTGTATGAAAAGTTATTCGATTTATTGATTCCCATGCTTCTCTTGTACATAAATCTAGCACTACTGAGTACGACAATAACAAGTAGGTGTCCAAGATGTAGCTGTGTTTTATCTAAAGCAGCCATTCAGCCTGGCATTTTCTGAAAGACAATTTCACATGCTAACCCTTGACTGTTTCTCTTATTTACAAGGGATGTTGAAAATTAAACCATTAACTGACCACTTGTAAGAAAAAAAAATTACTTTGTGAAGTATGTAACTTATAAAAAAATATTAAACCTATTTTTAGATTGTTTTATCTTTGATTTTCAAGTACAGCATAGGTCTTGGACATATCAGAGAGAATTTAGTGAAAAATTTATTTTCAAACAAATAAAAATATCAGGATAAATGAATGTAGTCCAGAAACCAACCAAGTCAGCTGCATGTTTCTACCCAAATTTCTAGAACAATAATCATATAGTCTGGTTACATAAACCATTAATACATTAAAATACTGCATGGACAAGAACTCAAGAGTACTCTTGTCCATTCCAGCCTGTGCCCTGTCTCTGCTTTACTGAACATAGTAAGTCCTCTGACCTGACCACCCCCTTCTCTACACCCCAACATTCTAACCCTATTCACTGTCCTCTCACTTCAAATGCAATGTTTCAGTTTTTTGCACTAACCAGTTACCCATTTTTTCCCACTGCCCCACTCCAGCCAACTTGTCTTTCTGGCTGGCTCTATTACATCCTCCAAATGCCAATCTCTGTCTTACTTGTGCCCTCCAGGCATTTGCATTCCTATTCCACATTCTCCTTCTCCTATCAGCTCTCAAGATTCCATTCTCCCCCACTGAGATTTTCACTAAAAATTGTTTCTATCATTTGCTACTCTTCTCTGAGTATTTCTGTCCTGACAACCCAGTTCTTCCCCAACACCCTCAACTTGCCAGCTTGAGTCTTCCCACATCAACTATTCATTTGACCTGTCATCTTCCCTTTGCTCATTATTACACTGATCAGAATGTTTCTCCTTCCAGTCCCAGTCTTCAACTCTTTGCCCCTGCCAGTCCTAGATTTCACCTCTACTTCTCAGCTCTAGTTGCCGTCCTCTAGGCATTTGAACTGGACGATCCTTCTTCCATAGGACTCACATGCCAACACAGCAGTTGCTGAAAGCAGAAGAGAAGCAGGCTCTCTGCATTCAGTTTCAGTAGTGCTGGAATGCTGGGTGCTGTCAGGGCTCATTATGCCCCAACCTCAATCTCAAAACTGTCTGAGCTTTTTCCCCCCAAAAAAATTTCAGTCCAAGACAGACATCTGGCATGCAGGTTTTCAGGCCACATTATAAGAAAGTATGAATACTATTTTTCAAAAATAAAAATTATAAAAAATTAAAAATATCATTTAAAAACTGAATGTATCAGACAAACAAAAAAGGCAGCATTACCAAACCACATATAGTAAACAAAAACCCCAAAATAATCATGGTGTGATGTGCGCATGTGAATGAACAGACAATACCAATTAAAAAAAAATTCCTACCTCATCTTGAGGTTGCACAGTTAGGCTTCAAAAGTTAACAAAATCTTAATTCTGCACCTTTGTACATAATGAGTGGCATACATGGCAACATGAAGAGTGTGTTTATCACATAAAATCATTATGAAAGTCTTCTAATTCGAAGATCTAAATTAGCAAGGTGCAGGTTCTTCCTCAGTACCCATGTTAATCATGTATATACAAAATGGATAAAGAAGAGAACCGCAGAATAACATTTATTCTTTTAATAACTAATTCATACAAAAACCTAGGGAGAGATCAATCAATAGATGAACAACACACTGCCCTTCTACTGCCCCTTTACTTTGTTCTTAATGTTACCTTTCTTCTTTATCCAAAGTTTTCTTCTCTGCAGAACTAATCTTTTTTGGTGGTACAGGAGGTGTCACTTTTCTGCAGATCTCTTCAATTATACGTTTATTCAATCTGCTCTGTACAGCAGCTTTCAATAAAATTCTTTCCACTGCCGTCATTCCATCACCGTGAGAGTATCTTGGAATTTCTGAGTGGATTAAAACATCCACATCATCCAACCAAGGAGGATAGTAAGAGTTTTGTTTTCCTGAGAGTTTGTGATGCAATTTAATCAACAAGGACAGTATGCTTTCCTTGACTTCTAGAATGGCTGTGGTTAGCTGTGGAGTTGCACCAGGTGCTGACCACTTCATTGAAGTTTTGGGCCGAACCACTTGATTTGCCTCACTGGTATTCCGGTTGATGATCTCCTGAAATTTCTTTCTACGTTCTGCAACCAAACTGAACACTTGAGCTGTTCCCGGGTTCTTGGGAAAAAAATGACAACATTTAATTTTAAAAAATACAATTATAAACAACATGCAATTATAAAACTAAAGAAAATATTTTAAACTAGGAGGAAAAGCATGAAAGATTTTACGTTTCCTCTCACCTTCCAAAACATATTGAAACATTGGTATACCAAAATACCAATCTTGCATGTCATATTTTTATACAAATCTGTTATACACAGCTGCATAAAAAGCCAAGTACAAAATGAAAATATCACCCATACCAAAACAACTAATAATTGGCTTCGCTCTAGCCAAACTTAGATTTCTGTTCTCCAAATAGTATTTCCTTATTTTTTCTGGAATATTCATCATTTCAGTATCTTTTTATCATTTAAATGTCTTTATTAAGTCTACTGAGCACTGCTGCACAATGTAACTCACAATCCCACACAGCTGAACACAGGTGAGTCCACACATCCCTGTGGGCATTGTTCCTTTTGTGTGGATTTATTAACTGAGATCCAGAAGACACATACCCATATTTGCAAGCAGAGATTACTATTCAGGACACATGAGTGCAGCTACAGCTACATTAACGACAGAGCCCATTCAGATGTTTCCAGTCTCTGCTACCCCTGCTTTCAGTGACAAATTAAGAATATACGGAAGCAACTTGCATATACTGAATCCATAGCAAAGAGATGTTTCCTGAATATTTTGAACACAAAATTCAGAACACTTTAACATCTTACCCTCTCCTCCTCAGAAGACTGGGCAGCCAAGAGATACCAGATACCTCAGAGATCAAACATAAAAATGGGATTCTAACAACCATCTCACCTACCTTCTTTATGTTTTAACCTATTTCATCTCACCTACTTACTTTAAATTTTGATCTATTTTGCTAACATTAACATGAAAAAGAAATATCCATTGTATTTCACTACATCTGCATCCAGTAATCTGAACTGCTGCATACAGAAAGATACAAAAGCAATCCTGACACAGAGATTACATTATCTACTGGCTATAAATCTTTCAGGATCCCACCATTTATATATTCCTTTTGTTTTCACAAAAAACCCAAATAAGCTTTCCATTAATCATTTCAAATGCACTTTCAATGTAAGGTTAAACTTTCCTAGATTTGAGAAAGCTAAGACTACTTAATATTATGAAATGTTAGTAATATCTTGGCAAGACAAAACAAGCCTAAACACAAAGCTCAAGCAGTAAGCTAACAATGACATTTTATATTTGATAGAAAGCTTTTATTTCAAAATACGTACTAAAAATGTAAAGGCATTTATTTACTTAAAAGTCTACTACATAAGATTACAACCAAGAATATGAAAAAAGCATGAGTCCTTGCAATATGAATTAAAAGGAAACTCAGGAAAATTAGAAGATTTCATTGAATGTTAAGGTGAGCACAATTAAAGCCATGTTGCTAGTTAATCGCTTAGGAGAACAAACTGCACACAGATCTACCTCTCTCTGGAGGCTCTTCCGCCTTGAACTCTGGTAGATTGAGGACAAAAAAAGTAATTAAATACATCACTTGGAAGGAGGTATCATTTGAAATAAATTCTATTTCTGTTATCAGTACACTTAGGAAAGATTACTAGAGGAAAAAAAAATTCCTAAGAAATGCATAAAAACAGTAAAAAAAAAAAATCCCAACAAAAAAAGCCAAAACAGGTAATAACTTAAACTAATGTAGGAAAAGGCTCAGTATTTGTATATAACTTACTTGTGATGAAGCTAAACCATCAGAACTTGTACTCGCAGGTGGTTCCCTTTTCACCTCTGGAGCAGTTTCTGGTACTCTTACTCGGACATAGTTAATGAAGTGACGCATGTTAGAAACCAAGTTACTACCTGGAAACCAACTATCATGACAACGCTCTTGTCCACCTGCAGATTCCTAAAATAATAATTTAAAAAAATAAGTATACTTTCTCTTATGTATTACAATAATGTTGCTTTTATAACTGTATTACAGAGGTCATCATCTCTCCATCAGATAGGAACAATAGGTTGAACAGTATGTACCTCACTAAAGCTGATATACCTCTTGAAAACTATGGTATGACTGATGCCTAGTGTGAGGACTACAGGTCTGATGAATACATAAATCTACATTTGATTTGAATATAATCAAATACATGCCATCAGTGGTATCTAGCAGAACTAAAGGGAACTACTCAGAGTAATCCAAAACTGTACAATCCAAGATTAATACAAAAAATCCAAACAATACTGAAGTAAATCACTGGAAAAAAAGTGGTAGGTGCTTAGTCATATAAGCAATCTTAAAGAGTAGGAAAAAATATGAAAGTCATATACCATAAGGGAATCTGGAATCACCAAAATAATGGCTCTTTATATTCAAATTCTCACCACAGTTAAATTTTGGCTAATTCACATATTTCAGAGCATACAAATCTTCAGCAATAACATTCTCAGTGACAAAGGTTTCAGTTGAAAAATCTAGAAATTTAAGCAAGTTTTAGATTCAACCATTTTAATTTTTTTTCACCCAATTTCAAGTACTAATTTACAGAATAGTAAAGATCTAACCAATCTGTGTTGTCAGGTTATAGATACAGAAACTGTTGAAAAACATAACAAGATACCATACTCCTCTTAGAACAGTATGCAATTTTCCTATTTTTGTTCACTTAGTTGATCCCTGCTTAAGTAAATAAATATGTTTTATTTTAATTCCTATGGTAAAATTGTAATTTTAATAAACAGCTATTTTTAATTAATATGGAATCATTAGACAATACTTAATATTTTAATGAAAAATATGGTGTTTATTCTTACCTCTTCATCTGACTCTTGTTCTGGAGAATTTTCCAACCCCAGTTCAATCAAATACAAAACCATGCAAAGCACATGTTCTGATAAATTCTGATGATCCATTAATATCTAAGCAGAAAAACAGACATTCACATCTCAGAAGGTTTTACCTTTGATGCTTTCACAATCCCTATTATGAAAAAAAACAAAACCAAAAAAACAACAAACTGCCAAAACCTGATGGACATCTCTAACCTGAAATGGAAAGTAAAGAAAGTAGCCAGGAGTCTTGTATGAAGAAGCTCAAGTTACTATCTACAAATTTTATCTCCAGGTTAGCCACTCTAGGAAAGGCAGAAGGTCTTGAGCAACATATGTGATTTTTGCTTGGTTTCTGTTTTAATGAATCACTGCGCTCACAAAAACTGTATCATGAGATATGAGTATCAGTTAAAAAGAAGAGACTAGACAGGCAGAAGACCGTAACAACACTTGCTACCCTAGTATATTTTTGGTAGACTCTGAGCACCAATTTTAGCATTTAAAATAGTTTTCTTTTTGTTGCACAGTAACACTTTCAAAGTCCTATCATATGCATAAAAATACAGTTAGAAAAAAATATTTTCAAGAGCAGTGAATTGCCTCTTCAAGTTCCTGGAATATCTACTCTGAAATATCAGCAAGATATTTTAAACTTCTCTCTTGTTATGACTGAATGCTCCAACAAAATATCCGATCAGTGACTATGCTATAGGATAAAAAAAAGTTCCAAGCTGGCCAAGGTTAGTAAAAGTAGAAACATTAATATAGCTCTCCACTAACAGTACAACAAAATAATTCATGTAATTTTGGATTTGATGGATCAACCCAAGTGTTGTATTTGAAAGATGAGAAATCATTATTACACTCAGTTTATTAAGACTTGTAAATGTACAAAAAGTGTTCTGAATAATACACTTTGGGCTCTTCAGTTTTTATACAATTTTTTAAAGATGATTAAAAATTGAGGTTTAGAAAAAACTAACTTTTGAGCATCAACACAAAAGCAAAATTTAATTTTACATCTCTTTCCAGTCAAGCTTGTACTTTAAAATGGTGACTAGTTCAAGTTATGATTTACTATAAAACCGAAGTGCCAGGTAAAGGTGCATAGATATCACTCCTATTAGCTACAAGCAAAGAGCTTGGCCTTCCCTCCCTTTTTCATGTGATCAGCCACCATAAAGAATCACGAGGTCCTAGTCCTATAAGCGATGCCAGGTTAACTGGGAATGCCAGAAGGGTTAACATGAATTTAGTTCACAACCATCTTCACATAATCTTTTATAATTACAAATAATCTTTATCTTTAAATTAATAAATGCCCATATCTTTCTTCTAACAGAGCTTTCAATACATTGAGAGGAAGAACCAGTGCTGCCGAAATTAAAAACCAGGACAACTTCCCTCTTGAGAATATTCTGATTTAAAGGGAAAAAATGGCAAGTTACCAAAAAAGTGGATGGGAAAAGATATTTAAAATTTCATTGTAGTCAAGCTACTGTAGAAATTAGTATTTTTAGAGTGTAGCCTGGTAAAGTTTTAAATACAATTTGGTTTTGAGAGGGCCAAATTTCATAAATAGATACACCCATTAGAAACATCAGAAAGTTAAAGTTCTTAAAACATTTTTTTTTTTACGATAGCTTTTCTACATTATGTGTAAGCATCTGATTTAATCAAAACAAATCTGAGAATACAGAATTATTTAATTAAAAAGGGCATTCAGTATTACATTAATATGAAAACCATGTGCAGTTGTAGCAGCCAAAAGCAAAACTCACGTTGACTAACACTTCTGAAAAGTCAAATCATCAAATGTAGTTTACTGTTCTTCTGTAGTCAGTCACAAGAGTCAAGAGTTACAAAGGCTGTCATAAATTGGCAGAATTTCACAAACAGAACATATTTAAGATAATCCATGGAATCAATCACTACGTAATTTTCTACCATCCATAAATCTGGTAACAATTTAAAAAGCAACCCAGAAATTAAGGTTCTCAAGATTTAAGTCCTTGAAACTTCTTAACAGAATAAGAGGGAAAAAAATCCAAAAAAAAGCCAAAAATCCCAAGCAAGATAGTAAAAGATTATGCATTTCTTGTCTACATTCTCTATTTTTGTTCCATGTCAAAATATTATTTCATCTTCTACATAATCTCAAGCTCTCCTTTTCTTCAGCAGCCTCCCTGTAAGTCTCCTGCCTAGTACTTTCTCTAGGTATGCTCCTTCCCTATAGTCTCCGCTCTATACTAACCACATCTCAGTCTCATTCTTCACCCTGCAGTAATTGGGCAGCCCAGGCCCTCCAGCAGGCCGGGTCTAAGCAGGGTTAAACATTCTGCACACAGCAGTTTCTCTGGCCAAAACTACGGAAATCCCTGGGAAACAAGGTAGTTCCACTTCAGGCAAAGTTCTAGTTAGCTCTGGTGTGAGGCACACCCAGACTGGGACTGACTTTCTTGGGACTTCAGCAATTAACAGAATAAACAGCCACTGAACACGCACACAAGGTAACTTTGCAATGCCTACAGTTCGGTTACACTCAGATCCAGACTCTTGATAAAAGGACATTTAAAACATGGGAAAAGGGGATGTATTTCGCCCTTGCTTCAGTCTTGGAAACTCATGTCATAACAAGCATTCAGCATGAAAAATGTCAGCCATTGGTTAAATTTCAGCAAGATAAGGAACTAGATGTCTGACAATAAAAACTTTGACTAATCACTAGATGTTGTGCTATTGAGCTTGCAAAAGCTGTAGTCTCTGCAGATAAAATTCAGTCTTCTCCATAACATGTCTCATTCTATTATGGGTGAGGAAAAATTAGTAGTAAAACAGTCAATTTTTTCTATTTTATATTTTAAAGTAGATTTTTGAAATTGCACTAATTACACAGCAAAACCTATAGTTTACTGAAGTCATTCATTTGTAAGCAATAGGAAGCTTTTGAGAAAAAGTCCTTTTCTGTCATAAAGGTAAAAGATATTGAATGAATTCAGGTAAAATCTTAATTCTTCATTCATCTTAATGATACACTGACAAGTTCCATGATACTTCATTACAGAAAGAAATCAGCTGTAACAACTCTGTGTGAATAAGCTCTGTGTGAATACCACCCAGTTATTACTATACTTAACAACAGGTATTTTCTATTCAACAGAAGGTTAACAGTGAAACTAAACAAGAGTTTTAGGGGAGCTAGGAGCACAAAAAGAGCATAAAAGGGAAGTCTGCCGAGGAAAATAACACTACTATGCCTCAATCACACCACTTTTTATAGTCCCTCATCTGCTTCTGCAGCACACTGCTTTGAAAGCACTTTCCAAGTACAAAGACAGATTCAAAGGCCCGTTTCCTGATTAACATACTCTTCAAAAAGGATGCACTTCTCTTAAAGTTGGTAGCCAGCTCCACACAATTTAAAGGCACCAATTAGTCCTGAAATACAAGTGCTATAGTATTATCATAAGCCAGAACATATCTGGGAAGTGATGTTAAGAACAACTGCAGCTATGAGATGTATTTGCCATTTATGATCTAAAGCCATTGAGGTTATATATATTTGAAAAGGCTGCTGATGCCTTAAAACTCTGCAGTGGGAGCCAAAGGAAGGTCACTCACATCACCATGCTCCCCAAAACCATCACAGAACAATTCAAATGTCAACTCTGATGGTTAAGGTAGTGTTCCTCAAAGTAGAGGAGGACAACTCACTCACCTGGGTTCCTGACTTAGTGTATTTATATATAAAATAATAATTAATTAAATAATGAAAATGGTAGAAAAATATCATCCTACTAGACTTACAAAATAAAACAAACAAAAAAAGTTATATAAATTTGAACCTGACTACTGTATATAATCTATTTAAAAAAAAAAAATCACAATTCTAAAAACTCATGTTCTGAAAAAGTGGAAGTAATATACTGGACTTAATGATAATTATGACTGTACCTTGTAAAGAAGTGTGAACAGCACAATGTGGAGGGTTTTACAGTGTAAAAGTTTTATGAGGCCTTTGTAACTTGGATGTAGTGGTGTTCTTTTCTTGTAAGGAGGCCACGGGTTCCCAGGGAATTTACCACTTTGCTTTAAACTGTTGAAACAAATGAGACTTACATTAAACACTGCAATAATTTAGACAGCTGCCACTGTTATAGATAACTACCCTGCATTCTTTTTGTTTTGACCAACCTTAAAATTGACAACCATTTTTAAGCCATTTATTTTATTTAAGCAGCATTCCAAAAACTGGAATATATATACAAACTGAATCTAGTCTTACTTTCATGTGGATTACCACTGATTTAAATGGCCTTTTTAAATCAAGTTAAATGAATTTTTAGTTACTGCTATGAATTTAAGAATTCCATTTTCATTCTAAGAGGCACATATAAGAGATGGAAGACTTTTCACTTCACCCAAATCCATGTTAGTCAGACATGCAACACAGAAATCTCACATCTGTAGGAATGGATTACAGGCAACACTAGGAAACACTAGACATAATTAGCTACAGTCAACAGTGCCAGAGCCAGCGTATCTACAAACTTAAAAATTAAATGTTAAGTTCAATGTGGACACACATTTCTAATCACAAGCTGGAATCCAGTGCAGTAGACAATGCAATTATTTATCAGAATACTACCTTGCTCAGAATCACTTAGAGTATAAGTTTATGATGACCCTTTGACTTAATTGAAGGAGTATAGGGGCAGAGGATTATTTCACTATGTTTACTTTAAGGGCTTTTTAAACTTGATTTTTTATCCCCAAAGTGTGAAATAAAAGAGAACAAAATTTCATTAGCTGAAATAAAGTAAGAAGCTGTAAGGGATGGAATATTAAGGACCGAAATAAGACCAAATCATCTTGCTGTTTAGAACTTAAAAGGGTACCAAAAGTGTTTTTTCCTTTATGTAAATCAGAATTTAATTAACTCATGGTTTCTGTCATGGGTGAATACACAGAAAAAATCCACATTGTCTTCAATATAATTCCAAAACACAGAATACGGTGCTTCATGTACCTAAATGTAAAAGAAATAAAAATAGACAAGGCTGCCTTCTTTAAGTAATTTTTAACTGATATTTAAATATGAACTTTTGGTTAAGTATTTTATCTGTGATGACATTCAATACTTTGTCTGTGGCACTTCAGATGTATTTTTAAATGTTTAGGGAAGAGTAACAGACCAAGTTAACCACAACCCTGATACTGCCTGTAAGTTTATAAACTATTTACTCAAGGACAAATCTGGGGCTTGAAAACACTGATAACATGATTAGCATTACCAGACAGTGAAAACAGAAATTTTTTTGTACACTGAGCAACAATATGATGTTACATTTCTAAAAATGATCCAACTTACAATGCTGTGTATCTGTCCATTGCAGACTGCACATCTCTACGGTAAACTGTCCGAAGTATTACCATGACAGGGTCAAATTCCTTATCCCAAACTTCAGCTGTTGTTTAAAAGAAGTCACATGTTAAAATTCTCTTTACAGACCTTACAACTTATTCTAGATTATCTTCTAAAATAGCTTTGATTATGTAATTTTCTATTATATAATAATATTTTTGCAGTAAAGTACAGTAATTTTTATTAATAATACTTACTATACTAAGAATTACTACTGCTTATCCAGATATCAAAATCTCACCAAAAATATTTTTCTTAGTTCCTAAACAAAAATATCAGCAATCAAGGCAATAGATCTTTTCTATTAACAAGCTTTATTGTAGTATCTTCTAGCTTTCTTTTCTGTTATGTAATAATTTACAATGTGGGATAAAAGGTAAAAAGAAAAATCACATATTTCTGATAAAATAAGTGTTGAAACATATGCTGAGCAAAGTTTTTTTTAAATTCCAAATTAATTTTTAAAATCTACATAAATTTATTTATCCAATTCTAAGTATACAAAGGCAGTTCCAAAAACATCTTTTAACTTCTAAATACATCATTTAACTGCTACTTTTCTTTTCTATTTACAAGTTATTAAAAAACAAAACTAAGCTTCCAACCCAAAGCCAAATGAAGCTGTCCATTCTATTAATTGTTTGGAAGTGTTTAACTCCCATAACACAGCAATATGAAGGCAAGATTCAACGATCATATCAAAGGAAGAAGAAAACCAATGGATACAAAATTTTAGCTCCACCAGCAGGTGTAACACAATGCAAGCGCTTATCTTTACAGTTTTCACAAGCAAAAGCAGGCAGCTTTATCATGCTTTTGAGATTAATTTCCCCCAGGTGGGAAGACAAGTTGTCTATACTCCTGTTAACCCCTGCTAATGTTAACAGTTCTACAGATACCCTGATTTGTTGCTGAGAGAGAACACTTAGCATAGTTTCTATTATGTCTGAAAGATGATGAAACTTAGCTTGCAAAATATCCACTTTTTCTGGACAGAGTTTACTATTGCAGTCTGAAACACTGATCAAGCTTGTCTGGGCTGCTAATGCACAATGAGGAAAACAGAAGATGAGGAATATTAGAAATACACACACAGCTCATCTTCAGCACACAAATCCACAGAGAACAGGAAGATCTATGTCCTTTTTTTAGAAGTTGGTTTGGTTCTTTTTTAACCAGTCATCAATGGAAGCAAAATCTGGGGCTTCCGAGATCATAAAGTATATTTTTTTCCCTAAATTTAGGGAAACAAGGAATTAGGGGCAATGGATCTCAACATGACTTTCTTAAACTGTGTCAGGCCACAAACTACAATTCTTAAAAGCAACTGGAATATCACCATTCTTTTTGAGAACCTATATAGTCTTATAAAGATTATAAACACTTAAAAGGCTATAGTACTCCAAAAAACCCATGCTCACTTTGATTCCTGCAGAAGCTCTTTCAGTTTTTTTATTACTTCAAGAAAAAGGGATTCGGCATAGTGTTACAATTACTTCAGTATCCACTGCTATAGATGAGATGCTTAAAGTTTTGGGGTTTTGTTTGTTTGTTTTAAGATAAACCATCTATTCCAGAGGTAAACTAAGTTAAAAAACCCCAAACCACTAAAGTCTAGTATCAGATTCCCTAAATATAAAGTGTTATTATTAAAAATACCATAAATATTTTTTTTATTTCCTTCCCACTGTGTTATGAAAAAGACCAGTATGTCACAAGGACATGACATAAGGAAACAAAGTTTACAAAACATCAAAAAAGTTATTTTAAATATATAGGTGTTAAACTGCCTAATTACACATGAAGGAACCAGAATTAATTGATTCCCAAAACTCTGGTTTCACAAAATTACTTCACTGGTTGTTAATGTGTATAAAAGCAAAAGCTTCACCGAGCCATCAGTCTCCCAAAGGCTGGTAAACAAGTTAGTACCATATTAGTTCCTACATTAACAACAACAACAAAAAATTCCACAAGAGAACACAGCCTAAAAAGCAAATGGTTTCAAAGTTGTCAGACCTCAACCCTGCCAGTTCTCAAGTGAGGCACCCAGGGGAGGAAGGAGTTAATCCCTCTTCAGCTTTGCCACAAGCTGAAGCACAACCCGAGCACATGGAGCATTTCAGATTCCTACAGGCTTATCTGCTCAGTGACAGGAAACAGTAATGGAACACTGAGTTCTTAAATTCTTCCTCTCCTTTGATACACCAACACTATGTTGAGTCCAATTTAGATGACAAGCTAAGGGGGGAGGGAAGAAACTTGTCATTTTTGCACTGTATGCATTGTAGAATTATAGAACAATATTCTATTACCAGTCTAGTCTGAACTTTGTTCTAGACGCTCACTATTGACTGGGAAGAATGTTACAGGCCACTAAAACAGTTAAGTAATATAAAAAATAATGATGTATCATGATATCTTTAATGATCAAAATGTAGAGAAGTTCAATGAAAAAAAATCTTTGCAACTGACACCTCACTAGTGCCAACAGTTCTAAACTCTACTGAACATACATCAGATTCTTTTAAAAATTGCATGGACAACTAAGTATGCAGACCAGTGAAACACAAATAACACCATTTCTCAGTTCCTCATTTTTCCCTTGCTTTCTAAGGATACCTGATTAATATGAGAAGCTCAATTTCACTCTAGATCAAAATGAAAAACAATATTCTTTAGCAATGGTCTTAAATAAACAATAATGAAAAGGTCAAACAAGTTTTGTGGGGTTTTTTTGGAGGGGGTGATGGTTATTATTGTTTGGTGGTTTGTTCTTTTGTTGTGGTTTTTTTTTTTTAAAGGGAAAAAAACACCTCTGGTTAAGCATCTTAGCACTGAGTATGTTATAAGAGAATGCCAGTTACCATACCTTTAGGTGTATACATTCCTTGTTGCATGGAACCTCCCGGTTCAAAAACAGGAGCTTTAAAATCAGCAACTGCTGACAAGACTGATTCAAAGCTTAAGCTTCCTGGAATAATACCACTTTTAGGATTGGGGTTTTCTGGAATGTAATGTTTGTGTTAAGGAAAGCAAAGGTAACTTAGTTGCAGCATTTACTTCGCTCTTGACATTTTCAGTCACTTATTTCAGCAGTGCTCTGTGTTTACCACAAGAGGTCTGTATGCTCCAGCTGCTAGGATGGAACAATAACTATAACTATTACTGAAGTGAATTAAAGTGAATGTCCCGTGCTGGGACATTAAACTTTCCAATTGCTACATGCTTGGCTCAAGAGGTAAGTATTAAAAGAGAAATAAAAACTACTATCAATATTGTATATAAAGTTTTTGTACTTTATTAATTACTGCTTCAGCTCTCTTCATAGCAAGAATACTTTGCCTATACAGCTAGGTGCAGAAAAAGCAAGTAAATAGCTTGGGATCCATATACACAATAAGTAATTTCCATCTTGGATTGGCTATTTCTCATTTTTGGTAGCAATACTTAATTGACCTACTGACATTACCCCAGATCACATGTAACAATACAAACAAGGAAACTTCCGCTTAATAAGTGAGTGCTTATAAAATTATTCACTTATTTTACATAGTGAAGTGATTAGCTTATTTTACATACTTAGTGACTGACTTACTAGGTCATACTGTAGTAATTAATAATTCTTGTTACATATTTGTATCTCTCAGTCTCCTATCTTTACAAATTCCTAATATTTTTGCTCATTGCCTATCCTTAGACTGCAAGCTCTTCTGGGCACTCACAACAAGTTATTTAATTTGCCTACAGCTTAATACACCGACAGCTGTAAAACCTGCATATCTGTATTCAGCTGACTGAGGACATGAACCATGTAACTTCCTAGAGTTTGGTATTCTTCAAGTAAGACACTTCCCCCCATAAGACACACATTTCACTCTAACTTCAAAGCAGCATTCAGAACTGCTATTATTTGCATTTTCAGCTTCTAACTTCAAAGCAGCATTCAGAACTGCTATTATTTGCATTTTCAGCTGCTGATAGCAAAAGACAATATAGCGTAGATTGGCTTCTTTTTATACTGACATAAAATTAGCAATAATCAAAGGCTCAAATCTGGATAAAGGTGATGCTTGGCTAAACTTTCTACGATGTCACTGGAAAGCAGACTTTTTACCTCACACCTAGAAGGCTTTTGTAGTGTTAAAAAATAATTTAAAATAGCCGTTAAGCATTTTGTAACAAAACTAATTTAAAACTATTACAAAAGTATTGCATATTTTGTAAGAAAAACCAAAGCTGGAGTAAATGCCTTTGCTGATGGTAAGTATATGCAAACACATATTTACTCGGTTATAATTATGTAAGTTGAAAACATGTTGTTGAAGCTCCAAAATCCCACTACTATCCAGGTATCTGTCATTCTCATTCATGTACATTAATTAACATATTCCAAGGATATGAGATCCAATAAAGAACTGTGTGTCCTGTCATTCATACAGAGTTGAGCTACCATCTCTGCTCTGAGGATCTCATCATCTGTCATTCCTAGAAAAATAAAAATTTAAAAAGCCATTAAAAATAGCATGATTTTAAAACACATATTCAGCATCCACTTGTACTTAAACACAAGTTAAACTTGATACAAACATTAATATTAATTAATGATACAGTGCTATAAAAATACAGCTAAAGAGAAGGTGGGGACGGGCCACAAATGTTATGAGACACACAACCTCACTCAGAAAAGGCAGGTACAAACTAAAACTGCTGTCCTTCTGAAAAAGATGCAGAATTTTCAAGTGATCACATATACACAAATCAGCCACTTCCATTAAAGCCATTTTTCTCCTTCTCTATGTATTTTGTCTATTTCTAATTCATAAGGGATTAAAATTCAGTAACTGGCAAAAATGAAACCAAGTGTTGAATGCTTTAAGCTACCATATGGCTAATCAGCTTTACAGTAGCTACTAAATGTTGAATATAAATGAACAGGTATGTATTTACATACAAGTATTCCTAAAGCAGTGACTCTTACCTAAATGTAAACGAAGACTTAACAGAAGGACCAAAAACGTTAAGGCTCCTTCCAACATGGACCTTTCATGCTCTGAATCAAGAACTGTATTTTGATGCTGTGACGCCATGGTTAGCAGATCTACCACCTTAAATCTACATAGCAAAGAGTAAACTTAGAAATATAATTCTCCAACATTATCAATGTTAAATGCACAGATAAACTCAGGATACCATTCACAACAACTCAAAATCAACAGAAAATAAAATGCATATAATGCAGCAATAAGTAAACATACAGGAAAACCCTTTTATTTTTAAATTAATATTTTTATTTAACTACTTACGGCATGTGCTATAGCGATATCTACACCACAAGAGAACACTGTACATTTATGAACATATAAAAGCAAATGCCAATTAATTTGTTTTCAAACCCTGATTTTATTCTATCCAGAATACCAGACATCCCTTCTGTGTCTCCTACTGTTGCAGCTTTATTTATCTACTTCTTCAGGCTAGCATACCCTGAAAGCTTATATACAAACATGTGCAAAACTCAAAAAGACCTGAAGATGCTCAGAAAACAAATGTCTGAAGGTTTCACTACTGCACTGTAAAGCAAAAGCCAATCCTGTATAAAATGAAGGATCTACCTTGAGATACTTCTTTTGGTAGAGCCCTCAGGTGTTAGTTTTGGCTAGGCAGAGTTGTACCACTGAAGATAGATATCATATAAGCACAGTTTCTCCCACACGGCATAAATTAGTCAACAGCTAGCACAACACTGAACAAAAACATTCATCTTTTAACCCTACCTTTCAAAAACAGATGAAATAAAATAATCTGGGTCCAGCCTAGAGGCACAGACCTGTGGAAAGATAATAAATTAATTTTAATTCAGTAGTTTGGTTTTTTGTAAACAAGCATTGGCTTGGCTTCTCAGAAAACATAACTTACTTGCAGCAGATAAATGTCAGGGTCAATCATCGAATTGCAGAAATGAGATTGCACATAAGTCATGGCCTGTCCTTTAATTTGTAGACCATTTCTAACCCACATGTTGCTGTGAATTTCAGAAAGACTTGCCTGTTCAGGCAAAATAAAATAAAAATTCACAAACATTTCAGGGATATTCAACTATTCAGTTCAACGTTAGCAGATCATCGATATATTATCACACATATACAAACACACATACACACACTACACCTTTATATAAAAGTATACTTTTTAATACTAATTTACTTCTGGGGAGCAAGGGATGAAAAAGAACCACTGCAGGTTTATGAATCTATATGAAAGTATCACACTTTCATATGAGAGCGTATTTCAGACAACAACAGTGAAAAAGCCAATGATGTTATTTATTTATGTACTTATTAAAATCTTGACAAGTACTACAAAAATTAAGGCAGCATGGTTTAAGCCAAGTCAGATATAAAAGCAGTGATAACAAATACTGCTGACTACCACTTACATACAAATAAATACAAATTTGTAAGTAAAAAAAGAAAATGTTACAGGGTGCATCCATTCTTGAACTCATTCTCAATTTAAAATACAAAATTTTGCAATCTGAGTTTCTTCTCAACTTGAACTCCATTGATAGCTATTCTATGAACATGAAGTTCAATGTTTTCAAAGGGCTGTTTCCTCCTACTGTTTTGGAAGTATTATAGTGAATATTATTATATTTCTCAGAGTATGATAACTAATGCCACATATTTAATTTTGGAAACAGGAAGAAAAAAAAATGTTTATCCTAACTACTCAGTATATTCTAGTTTTTATTGTCACACATTGCTTATTGTGATATTCCAAAATTAAGACATATAGCTCTTGTTAAATACTTCTAAATACATTTAAAGGACTGTGGTTAAAAGAATCAGACAACAACTTTTTTTTGTTGTATAACTTTACATCTGCATCAAAGTCAGAAGTCTCTCTTTACCTGTATCTGAAGTGGGTGAATCATCAGTTTCATCAGCATCTCCTGATCTGGTAAGATAGTATCCAGATCTAGTTCTTGGCATTTGACAGCCTAGAAACAATAGCAAGCATATGCTGTACTGAACAATCACACTTGACAGGGCATTTCCATCTTCTGTGTGACTAAAACATGTGCTTACCTTACTTAAAAACATGGCAAAGTAACGGTGCAGTGGCAAATGAAAAGTAACTTGGTTAGGAGCTGGCTGAAAGTAAAACAAAGATATTTCAATATCATATATTAAAAAACCAAACCTACAAATGTCTTTGTTACAACCACCAAGAACAGTATCTTGCATGTCTTCATTTGATGTTCTTACTTTCCACTAACCTAGTATTACTTCATTCCCCTGCACTTTTCGATGATTCAGAAATTTCCCTTATTCAGAGTGCAGTAGTTAACCCCTTAATAAGCCTCCAGTAGCTAATGACACTCTGAACTAATTGGGAGTATTGCTTGCTAAGCTGGCAGAGCTGCTCCCCTCTACCATATCAGAAGACAACTTCTGTTTTGCCATTGCTTCAGCTCTTCATTCAGCAGAACAGTAGTACATCAATGGCACTGCTTTTGAGACTCACACAGCTTAAGCTTGCACCAGCAAATCTAAATCGTCACAACTCTATAAATAAAGGATCCTAGGACGTAACACTGCAACTACTAACTACAAACTCTAATTTCAACAGGGCAATCTTTTTTCTATCGGTACCTAGAACGATGATTTAGTTTAATGGGCCAGGGAATGTATCATCTTTGAAGTTTAATCAGATTTTCACAGTATTTTACTTAAATTCACTAGGATGTTTACCTCATCTACAAAGTTGATTGCATCAAACCAGTCCTGAAGTGCTTCAAGGCAGTATCTGACAACATTTCGTGTGTATTCCTGTGTTTCCTGCAGTAAGAAAAAACAGTATACTATGAGACGAAATACTTTTAAGAATCACTGTCTTCCTACTATAAATAAATTTTTCAAGAATATTTTTTACAGTACGTAATTTATGCCCTCATCATATGGAAATTAATAAGTATCACAGAATCACAGAATGTTAGGAATTGGAAGGGACCTCGAAAGATCATCCAGTCCAAGCCCCCCTGCCAGAGCAGGATCACCTACAGTAGGTCACACAGGAACACACCCAGGCGGGTTTTGAATGTCTCCAGAGAAGGAGACTCCACAGCCTCTCTGGGCATCCTGTTCCAGTGGCCCGTCACTCTCATAGTGAAAAAGTTTTCCCTTATGTTTACATGGAACCTCCTATGCTCCAGCTTGCACCCCTTGCCCCTTGTCCTACCGCAGGACATCACTGAGGAGAGCCTGGCTCCATCCTCCTGACATTCGCCCTTTGCCTATTTATAAACATGAATGAGGTCCCCCCTCAGTCTCCTCTTCTCCAAGCTAAAGAGACCCAGCTCCCTCAGCCTTTCCTCAGAAGGGAGATGCTCCACTCCCTTCATCATCTTGGTGGCTCTGCACTGGACTCTCTCAAGCAGTTCCCTGTCCTTCTTGAACTGAGGGGCCCAGAACTGGACACAATATTCCAGATGCAGCCTCACCAGGGCAGAGTAGAGGGGGAGGAGAACCTCTCTCGACCTACTAACCACCCCCCTTCTAATGCACCCCAGGATGCTACTGGCCTTCCTGGCCACAAGAGCACAGTGCTGGCTCATGGTCATCCTGCTGCACACCAAGACCCCCAGGTCCATTTCCCCTACTCTGCTCTCCA